CATTTCTACCTGCCTTTATGACTACAGTTTATGAGCCTCATACATATGGTACAAGAGATTTGTTGAAACTGACCTCTAGTAATATGAAATGCTTTATAGTTTACTGTAGCAAAAGAACGACAAGATCCTGAAGGTTAAAGAGAAAAATTGTTAACACTGACAGGCAGTCTCTACAATCTCATTCATTGATGTTAATAATCACTATGCTTCCCGAGGGCTTTCCCTGTGCCAAGAGATCTTAGTACTTTACTTTTTTGGATGCACACAGTTTTCTCACCACCCTTATAAAGTAAGTTTTGTTAGTATTCCATTTTGCAGTGATGCACAAAGAGTTTGAGGAATTTGAACATGGTCATTCAGTGGAAGAGTGACTGAAGAAAGGCAGACTGATTCTGGAAACACTGCTACATAGAGCCTCTCATGCTAAATCCAGACTGTAGCACAGTGTGGGTGAGGCACACCTAGGTGGGGAGTGAATAGAGACGGAGTGGAGAAAAGCCCAGAACGGGTAAGACAAAGGAGAAAAAAACTATGTTAACCTGGAGTTCTGTGATTCAGACCAAATTATAATTTGCCCATTTAGTATTATGCGACTACACCAGTTTGTACAACCCACAAGTACATAAAATGCATTCATTCTCTGTGTTTCTGGAACCTTCTGACTCCACAAGCAATTATTTCATAATTTTGGGTGCCCAACAAAATGTGAGAGGTGTGGATCTCCAGACCATGTATCATACCTGTTTTCTGTTTCCCAGAGATCCTACCACATGGTGATCACATGAATGGCATTTCAAACCTAGTTAGCCATTTTGAACCTGACTAAGTGGATTATCTGAAGTCAGATGAGGGAAAAGATTAAATGCAAGGAAGAAAATTCCACAGTCAGGGTTGCTAAAAAAATCAGAGGAGACTGGGCTACCTCGGGATCACAGGAATCCCATTCTTTCTAGGATTTAAAGCAACTTGTAGAGATTGTGGTAGGGGTATTAGAGAAAGGATTAAAAAAACAAAAACAAAAACAAAACAAAGAACCGATGGTCTAGTTGAATTTTAGGATTTATATGTATCTCTGATTTTCTGATTCTCCCAACTCTATAAAGAGTCTTGTCCCTTTTTAAAAAGTAATATTATGTAGTATAAGTTGGATATAGTCAGAGAGTAACATAAATTAGTATAAACTTCTTTTTTATAAGTTAAAAAATCTTATAAAGCTGGAATCTTGGTAAGATGAATTATGCGTGGCCTACTCTACCAAATGGCAAGCAGCCTTCCTTAAAACTACCTTAAATAGTTGGAAAAATATAAAATAAGACAATCACAATGGAACAGAGTTCTTAAAACATCATTTAAGAACATTTCATTTAAATGTTCATTTAAAACATTTGTCCCAAAGATCTAAACCTTAAGAAAGAATATCATCAGAATTCACAAAATGACCTTACTAATTAGTTATTGCAACACTTTCTAGATATCCTGTTTGAAAAGTTATTTATGTTAGCTATGATGCGGTTTCGATCATATGTCCTAATGAAAATGCCTACGTGAGACCCAAGTCTCTGGGAAGTAGAATTTTAGCCTGGTCCTTCACAACTACGGTATAGCAAGGAGATACCATAAGAACTCCAAAATGAATCAACCTGAAATATTCCATCTCCTCTTTCCTGTATCAAAACACCCAGGGGCGCCTGGGTGGCTCAGTGGGTTAAGCCTGCCTTCAGCTCAGGTCATGATCCCAGAGTTCTGGGATTGAGCCCCGCATTGGGCTCTCTGCTCACCGGGGAGCATGCTTCCCCCTCTCTCTCTGCCTGCTTCTCTGCCTACTTGAGATCTCTCTCTGTCAAATAAATAAATAAAATCTTAAAAAAAAAAAAAAAAACAACAAAAAGCACCCATAGTTTAAACTGGTGGTTAGGAAGCAACTTCTTTTCTTTACACATCTGCTATATGTATACAATAAAGTATTGCAAAGCAAGTCTATAATCATATTACTTGCTTATTTTTTTTTAAATAAAATGGTTGCTATGTTGTGACCACAAAAATGGAAAGCTCTTAACAGCAGATAGCACACTTTCTTCATTTTCTAAAATAACATTTTGAAAAATATAGGGCATATAGAGAAGAAAATAACAATTATAAAAAATATCAGGTAAATATCAATCTGAATTAAATGTTAAAAAGCATCATGTTTATTACATATTATATATTTGTTATATATGATATTTATTATACTTTTATAAAATACATGATAACATGCATATATATATTGGTAATATATATACATATTACATATACCTAATGTATATATACAATGTATATACTATATGATGCATGTATCTAATGTACACAAAATATCTATATGTGTGTGTATAAATTAAAGACTATCTGTGTCTATACAACTACTGGAAAATGAAACACTTGGGGAACAGTGGAAGTAATTTTAAGCATTCTTAGTGTGATTTTACTCCATCTTTCCCTGAAGTCAATTGGGTCCTTGAATTTGATATATTTTTCTACTTCATCTATTTATATTATATATAATCCAAAACAAATGTGATTTGTGTATTTGAACAACTGTTAAATACCATATATATAATTCTGAATTTTTTATTCAACAGTATATATTATAGATGTATTAATATTGATATAAATGTCTTTATATGTATTCATTAATATTAAATTTTGATTACTATTTGAAAATATGAGTATGGAACATATATGAAATATATATGCTAATTCTAATGGTAAGCATTTAAGTTATTTCAATTTAGTATTAACAAAAACATTGTTGTATGTCACGTCCTTATGCATGTGTCCAAGCACATAGGGACAAGTGCAAATTTTATGATACATACATTTAAAAACTGATTTAATAATTACACTACCACCACTAGTGTATTGGAATATGGGATCATTAAACTTTTTAATTTGTAACAATCTGATGGTGTTGAGATGACATCTCTTTGTTTTTATTCACATTTTCATTTTTCTGAATTAGACATCTGTTGTTAATAAATTGTAGTGAAATATAGCAGAATGAAGAAAGTGCATGCATCTCAACTGTACTTTCAAAAATTTATATACAATTTTAAGGAACATTGCTGTATACATACTGATTTAGGATTATGCTATCTGTCTCTTGGAATGATCTATAATTATCCATTTGGAAAATTTTAAGTCATTATCTCTACAAATATTGCTTCTGTTTGTTATTTCTTTTGGAAGAAGTATAAATACTTTAAAATTTTAAATATTGATATACACTTCTCATTCTCTGTTTATTTTCCATTTATTTGTACTTTTTCTATGTTAGTCTAGGTAATTGGTATTAATTTTCCGTACATTTTACTTGTCTTCAATTCTATTATGTCCACTCACCCAATCTGCGACTGAGCAAAGTTAAAGTCTCAATTACATGCATCATTTTGTTCTAATTCTACAATGTCTACTTGATGTTTTTAATAGATTCCAAGTCCAGTGAAAAATGTTATGCTTTTATCTGTCTACTTTCTCTACTGACATGCACACACACACACACACACACACACACACACACACTCGTCTTCATGAAATCTTTGTTTCCTCATTCCAGTGTCTGAATCAGCTTCAGTTACGCTTTCCTCGGTTTCTTTTTGTACTCTGATCAGATTGTATTCCCTCTCCACACGTCTAGAAATACTTTTATTACATGTCAAACACTGTGTAGAAATGAACCAAAAATTCCCCAGAGGTTATCTTCCACATGAGAGGGTCTGCCTTTCCAGTGTTAGGCAGGATGATGGCTGCTAACACCTACCTAATGAAGAACTGATCTTAGGTGATGCACTGAAGGCTTACTAAAATGCAGATTACTCCTGGATGGCCCTGTTCCTTTGGCACAGACTTTCCATGCTTCTGATTGAGAATAATGTGGTGTTTGTCTTCTCAAGTCTGAAATACTATGACTGATTTCTCAGATTCAGTTTCCTGTATTAATATGTGCTAGATATATGTTCTCAGTATTACAGAAAATGACACTGGATGTTTGATAAATGGGTGTGAGTAAACAAAGAGATTATTTTAAAGTCACTCTACCTTTTGTTCTGAGTGAACTAAAGTATAGAGAAATGTTTATTTCCTATTATTTCATAGAGATGATTTAAAAATAAAAAAGAAAGAATGACAGGCATTACGAAATTTTGCCACATTCCGTAACGATTAAGCAGAACAATAATTCTAATTATATAATCAATTAATCCCTTTCTATCTCCCTTTCCATATGCCAATTGCCTATTCTTCACGTATGCCTCATATGAAGAACACTGAAGGGCAAAGGTTAGCATCAAGCAGGAGTTGTGGTTTATCCTGAGCACGCACATTTGTAACACAATGAGACATTAATAAAACCAAAATGAAAGAGAGGAGGTAAAAAGCATTGAAGATAATCTTTTGGAATTAGTGGTGATGGTAGCACAACTTTGTGAATTTTTAAAATGTGACTTTTATACTATGTGAATTATACTTAAGGAAAGCTGTTATAAAGAGGGATTTATGTCATTCTCTCCTGCCTTATCTTTATATGAACAGAGCTGGTTAGGAGGGCTACCTCCTTCTTCTCTGATTCTCCCTCCAGAATTCTGATTTACGATTTCCAAAATTAAAAGTGTCAATGACTACTTCGATTTGTTTCCTAACTCATTCACCCAGAGTTAATACATGGCATCTTTGCTGGTGCTTTAAAACATGTTTATTCATGGTGTTAGAGAACAAATGTACCGGTAAGGTGGAAAATGAAAAGTCACGAACTCACAAGGCTGAATGAACCCTGAGTCAATTTACTGTAGCAGCAAAAGAGAGGAAAGATTTGTGTTCCAAAGGGAGTGTCAAACACTCATGAATTTTACACCCACCTTCCAGGTACAGCATCTGGAAATGCATCAATAAATCAAGTGAAGCAATGGGTCTACCCTAGCTTTGTGTGCTAAAACTGCAATTAGGAGGATTCAGAGATGTTAACTTACCCGGTCAAGAGCCGCTTTCTCCAGCTCATTTTTGGCCACAGCTAATTTTTGTTCCAGATCAGTAAGTTGTTGGGCCTATAAAATGAAAGAAAGGCCACTCTTTTTAGTAAATTCTATAGCATCCCTTTTCCCTTTAAGCATCTTTCATTCATTGTAGAGAACAACAACAACAACAACAAAAACTTTGTGAAATATATTTAGGATTCAAGTTAAAAATACTCCATGACCTTTGGTTAAGCTTCAGAAAATAGTGTGTTCTGGATTAATTAGTATGTAGTAAATTCTTCAGTGGACCAAAATATCTAGTTGCAAAGTTCCAGCTCCAGTCCCTGAATATACTTTGACATAATAAATCAGTTATGTTTCTAGTTGTTCCATATTGAACTATATTTCCCCAAAATTCCTATGTTGAAGCTCTAATCAACTCCCTCCCACTTTGTGGCTGTATTTGGAAACAAAGCCTTTAGGAAGGTAATTAAGTTAAAATGAGGTTGTAAATGTGGGGCCCTAACCCCATACAATAGGCGTCCTGATAAGAAGAAGAAATACCAGATCTCTCTCTCTCTCTCTGCCTGCCCACGCAGAGTAAAGGTCATATGAGGATCCACGGAGATGAATACCATCTGCAAACCAGGAAGACCCCCTCACAAGAAACCAAGTCTCCCAGCACCTTAATCTCAGACTTCTTGTCCTCAGAAGGGTACGAAAATACATTTCTGCTCTTTAAGCCACCCAGTCTGTGGCTTATCCTATGGCAGTCTCTTGTTATGGCAGCCTCAGCAGACGAACACAATAGCATTCATTCTTTCTATTATTCAGTTTTAATCCAACACACATCTGTATCCCACCATATGCTAGTACCTTTGCAAATGCCATAACTCTTCTGTTAAAAGAGCAAAGGTCTCAGATTTGGAAGATGTATTTTAAAATCCTGTATCCACCAATTCCTATCTACATACTATAGCTATCCTTACAAGAAGATGCTTAGCAGCCTCACAAAAGACCAGGAGAAGAACCTGCCTCCCCTCATGGCTCAGAACCTCTCTATACCTCTGGACTTACCCTGTCTCCTATATTTAGCGAAAAGAATCTCAAGCTGGAAAGAACAGAGGATCTTTCTGATGTTCTTTTTGGGGAAGGGGATTGAATTCGCCAGGAAAAGTTGACAGTAGAAGGCTTATCAATTAACTACCTAATTAGCTACCTAACCCATATACATAAAATATATCATACATGTACTTAAAAATGTGTGTGTGTGTATGCTTAAAAATAAAATTTTGAATTAATAAAAGAGTGAGCTGGTGAAGAAAGTAGCTTCCAATATGAACGTACCTGCAAGTGGTAGAAAACCAACAAACTCTGAGCCCGAGGCCCCTCCCTGCACTCGCCTTGGTCCTGTTTGTCTCTATCCTTCCTTCTATTCCCATTACCCGACCCCACAACGTGAGGACCTTGGACCACAGACCTCAGTCTCATATTCTTGACCCGGGACTCAGGCCGCCTGCCTGTTCCACATCGCTGCTGTCCTGGGGCCATCTACCTTTCTCAAACACTGAGCACTCAAGACTTAGATGGCAACTGTCCTTGGCTACCACTGGCCCTGCCTAACCCAGTGCCTCAATGGAAGGAAGGAAAAGAAGGTCTCTTTTATCTTTCCCTGTGTCCTCAGTCAAGGATAGGAGTTAGGGACAATAGAGAGGGGCAGTGGGTGGGTCTCAGTGGGAAAGTGGTCAGCTTACACTCCCACTAGTTATGGGCTAGTCCTTAGAAACTGGGGGGAGCAAGTAAGCATGTCTGTGCCACTCAACATTTTAGTCACCATCTGGAAGGAATGCCCATGCTGCCCAGCAATTCCCCATGTCTTGCTCACTCTCCTGCCCTCGCCCCTCCCCCCAGCCCAGGTTCATATGCTGTTTTCTTTCTCAGGCTCTCTTTGGTAGGCGGACACGCTCATCAAGATGCTGTCACCAGTCACCTGCAGTCCAGAGGGTCTGCGCAGGCACAGGACCTCCTGCCTTAGCCTGTTTTCCTCCTTGCAGGGGCTTTTCAACCCAAATCCTGTGATTCATACTAGAAGATCTCCACTAAAGAATGACACAGAATGTTCAGTAATATAGCAATCCAGGAAGCTTGTATTAGGGCAGATAGAATGGATTCCATCAGAAATAGCAAATATGACTTTGAAAGCTATAATGCCAGCAATTCCCAGGATTTCAAGTATTTACCTCTTCTAGGAACTCACTGAACCTGGTAAAATCTAGCCAAGAGATTTTGGAGGACAGAAGGTTACAAGAAGAGTAAGGGAAAATAATCAAAGGAATTGCAGATACTAACACATATTATCAAATGTTGGTGCTAGTTTTGGAAGGATGAGCTACTGGGTTGACTTGTATATAGTAGTTATAAAATTACATAAAACAGTAAGAATTCTGTGAGTATTAAACTATCAGAAGACATATAAAAGACTGAGGACTTTACCATATGGTAAATTTAATTTGTTTTAAGTCAAATTTATTTGTTTTCTCAATTTAATTCCTTCAAAATAATGGATAGGGGTACTTATGAAGAGCTAGTCATGATTCTGAGGAGCTTTCATTTACATCCAATCACAGAACTATGAAGTTCAATCTATGAATCTACTTCAATCTATGAAGTGACTGATTTTCTCAGGCCAGGAAACATCATCTGTGTACATAGGTTCAAAATATACACGGAGAGGCAAGCATGTAAAATGAAAATGACAATAAGAAATTCTAACTGCTAAACACAAAATGTGTGGTCTAAAAAGTCAGAGTGCCTTCTTCAAATAACATTTAATTTTCATACATGTACATCTTCTCATTTGAGTTTTCTAGTCCAGAAGCTAGAGTCCATACCATAAATCTTATTTTACTTAAAAAAAAAAAAAAATGTTGCTTCTGAGCTTGAAGTTTTTACAGACCACAAAACATTGGAACCTGGGGTTTGGCTGCACCATCCAAACTTGCTTCTGGAGCTGTTCCTTACTTACTGTTTTTCTCTGGAGTTCAACTTAAATTGAGCTGAATTATGAAGCATGACATTAATGCCACATATAACATAAAAGTGTCTTTTTTTTTCCTTCTGAGAAATGAATCTATGCCATGGTGAATGCTAACAAAAATCTCGGCTATTTTATCTTCTGATAGAGCATAAGAAAAGGAAGTGCTACAGGGATATCAGCATAGTATCTAGCCACAGTGTTTTCTGGCACGGCTTTCTGGTTGGAAACAGATCCATCTAGGGCCAGATCAGGAAAGGATCAATACAGACTTTGAGTAGGGAATTCACAAGAGAGCCTCCTCTTAATGTTCTGGCCATTGTGAAGTTATAATAAAAAACTTGGAGGGGACTACTGTGACTCATTTACAGGGGACATAGGTCGGTGAAAGATTACAATAGCTGGGTTTTTCAGGGACATGGATATAACGGCCCACATTACAGTAAGTTTGACATCAGCGAAGCAAGGTCAGAAATCTTTAGAAGTTTCTTAACAATGGTTGTGCTATTTTGTTATTAAGAAGATGGCAATTGTTCTACAACCAATAAGACCATGCAGGTGTGTTCCAGCAAATAATGCAGAAATAATGGATAGTGAATACAAGAGAAGTTCCATTAAAGTGTGGCATGAGCATATTAGAAATTCTGCATTTTAATTCCAGACTTTAACATTGTAAAATAGGTGCTATTACAAAATAATCTGTATTCTATGTTTTCTACACTAAAATATCTTACGGTTGTAATATAAAAAATAGAACTTATATTTAGGCATTTTCTAGATCTCATCTATGTTATTTATGCTTATAATATACATGACATGGTAGTAAAAGAATAATATGGTAACAATGATAACAATGATGATAATGGGCCTAAGCTCTCTCTATATATATTCATTTTGCATAGCAACTCTGTCTGGCACATAGTATTGTTTCTATCCTTTTTAAATGAGAAACTGAGATAGAGATTTATGAAATACCTTGCTCAGAATCACACAGCTGGGCAATAACAGATCTAGAATTCAAATCTAGGCAGCTTGTATCCACAGCTGGTCCTCCTCACCACTGAAGATATGAATGTATGTGTTCTATTTATAACTAAAAATTTACATATATTAAATGACATATGCTCAAAATTTACTGATGACCTTTAGACTAAAAATGTTTGGAATCAACTCAGAACCTTGGAGAAATTCTGCGTGCTTAAGATTTTTCTCCCAGTGAGGATGATAAAGTCATAAAAGAAATGTTCCCAAGTACTCAGTAGGATGTACTTGGTGGTTGGTGAAAAGGTAACGACAGGATTGAATTTTTTATCTATGATTCAATGTATCTATTACTACATAAGAAACACATGCTCCCTGCTCAGCAGCCCTAACCTAAAAGATGGGGATCATAGTCAAGAGAGACAACACAGACAACCCCACCATCATCACCGTCATCTCTACATTCCACTTTACTATAGAGTTAGGAGACAGAAAATCAATAATTCTTACTTGCATCTACTCAACCCCCAAAAACGTAGGAAGTTGCAGTACCAAGATTATCTCTGGCCATCAGATTCCTGGATGCTGTGTCTGCTCATTTCAACATTAATAATGTGGGAGCGACACTGACAGACATGGGATTGAATGACTAAAACATGTACAAGGACCAAATTTAGACCTCAAACTACACAGGAATATAACTTAGCATAACATCTGCTTATAAGCATTATTAAAGTTTTTAATTAAAGTTATGAAGTTCAGTAAGCCTTTCCATTGGGAAACAAGAGCAAGCATATATAATTTTCCTCAAAATTTGAGTTTTTATTCGTCTCATATTACCATCATGTATATATGTATATGCATGTAACACTCACGGCCATTTAAAGAAAATCTATCCTGAAATACTTTTTTCATTATGTCTTTGAAGTTGATTCCCTTTCCTCAAGAACACTGCCACTTTGGAGGAAAGCGGCTTACAGCCTTTCTCTGTCATACATTTTAGGAGAGGTTATCTCAACACTCAGTTCCAGGGATGGGGATGTAATTTCTTACAGCAATTCCTCTATCTCCTCTC